TTCACAGAGGCACTGAGTTTTATAAATAGGAGCATGATAGTGTAGAATGATCATATCCAAAGACCAGTGGTGGGTTTCAAAAAAATTTTGGAACCTCTAGGTGTGGCCTGCTTTCCGGGTCCACTGGTGTAACCTCTTCTAACCCGTTCGGTAGATTTGACGAACCGGTTCTACCAAATAGGTGCGAACTGGTAGGAACCCACCTCTGCTTCACATGTTCTCAGAAGGTGCAACCAGAACCCAATGCTTATAGCTGGGCTGGTGGTCACAGGATCTTGTTCTTTTTGTCAAAGTGACAAATTACACCTCAAGTTTTACCAGGGTCGTGACATGTCTAGAAAAGGAATGGGACTTTTATCATCCGAATTTAGTTTACAGGCAGTCCTCATTCAGCGATGAGCTTCTTAAGCAACTGTTTGTTAGGAGAGTGATTCAAAAGGTGATATTCCTCATATCTATGATCTTTGTGGGTTTGTAAAGCCAAGGAAAGCTGAAGGAAGATCGTAAGCACAGTCGTTGTTTTAGAAGAAAAACATGGGAAAGGGGCAAGCGCAAATCTCTACTACTTTTAACCACAAAAGGCCTGAAAGTGAAGTTTGTTTGTTTGTTTTAAACCAGGAAAACCAGCTGGACGACCAGTTAATGAACCTGGCCCTTCTCAGCTCCCCAGAAGACATGATAGAAGCTGCCCGCTACTATGAAGGAAGAGGAGAACAAATGGACCAAGCTGTGACTCTCTACCACAAGGTAAGCCTTCATCCCAGTGTGGGTACAGAGTACAGAATATAACAGGGGATGGAAGGGACCTTGGAGGTCTTCTAGTCCAACCCCCTGCTTAGGCAGGAAACCCTACACCACTTCAGACAAACAGTTGTCCAATCTCTTCTTGAAAACCTCCTGTGATGGAGCCACCGCAACTTCTGAAGGCAAAGTTGTTTCATTGATTAATTTTGCTCACTCTCAGGAAATTTCTCCTTAGTTCTGGGTTGCTTCTCTCCTCGATTAGTTTCCACCCATTGCTTCTTGTCCTGCCTTCAGGTGCTTTGAATAAGTTGACCCCCTGTTCTCTGCAATAGCCTTCAAATATTAGAAGACTCTTACCATGTCAACACAAGTCCTTCTCTTAGTTAGACTAGACTAGGGGCCCTCACACTATGCCTGTGGGCTGAATATGGCCCACCGAAGCCATTAACCCAGCCTACGCAGGACCACAAGGCTACCCTGCTCACATCACCCCGCCTACCCACTGGCCTTCACCCGCCTTCTGGAGGCCGATGAAGCCAAAAACGGGATGCACTGAGGCCTCTGGAGGCCAAAACCAGGCACGTTTTTGCCTCCCTGGCCTCAAGAGAGGGAGAGAGAAAGAGACAGACATACGCCCACCCAGCTCATCCAGCCCCCAACAGTCTGAGGAACCATAAATTGGGCCCGTTTAAAAAGTTTGAGTCCAACTTTAGAACAGAATAGAATCACAGAGTTGGAAGGGACCTTGGAGATCTTCTAGTCCAACCCCCTACTTAGGCAAGAAACCCTACACTACTTCAGACAAATGGTTGTCCAACCTCTTCTTAAAGACTTCCAGTGTTGGGCATTCACAACTTCTGGAGGCAAGCTGTTCCACTGATTAATTCTTCTAACTGCCAGGAAACTTCTCCTCAGTTCTAAGTTGCTTCTCTCCTTGATTAGTTTCCATCCATTGTTTCTTGTCCTGCCTCCCAGTGCTTTGGAGAATGGCTTGATCCCCTCTTCTTTGTGGCAGCCCCTGAGATACTGGAACACTTCTATTATGTCTCCCTTAGTCCTTCTTTTCATTAAACTAGACATACCCAGTTCCTGCAACCGTTCTTCATCTGTTTT